CCTCAAGAGAAAATGTTTTAACATATAAGGTAACACTTCGATCCTTAGAATCATCTCAGTAGCTTCCTCAGGACCCTTTCCAGTAAGTCAGTATCCTTTCTTTGATAAGGAAACCAAAACTGTATACAGTATTCCACGTGAAGTCTAACTAGATAATCATATCTAGTAATCACTGTAAATACACCTTGAAAATTCTGGTAGCTTTACTATGAGCAAAAGAGCATTGTCTCAATGGTTTGAATAACTTATGATTTTAAAAATTATACACAACTATGCAAAATTATTTTTTTCAGTCATGCTATTAAACGAGTTCTCATATATATATATTATTAAACAGGTGAAACAAATGATAACCAAATTGCCATTAACTTTCTATATGAAAATCATGAAATTTTAGCAAATTATAAAACACTACATAAAATTTTGAGCGTCATCCTTATTTGGAATTTTAGGTTGATATTAGTACCATTAACAATATAAAAAAAAAGACCAGAAAAAAAAAGTCAGAAAAACTATATGTAACCTAAAGAAAAATACAAAAGTGGTAAACTAAAAATGTGAAAAAGGTATTGGGGGGGGGGCAATCACAGTATAATAAGAACAACTTTCGTATACAAATGTAGTGGTGTGTTGCCCCATGTGTGAGACATGGCCTAAATTTTGGTATCTATATATTTAATTCACTGTGAATATTTCATCACTTCACAATGTAATGCCCTCATGATAGCCTAAAAAATGGCCTGAGGAATATCTCAGCCCATTCCAAAAAGATATTCATTGAGCAAAATAATAAATGGATGCAAAGCCAAAAGCCACAATACTTCCATGTTAATAAAAAAGAACTTGCACAGCTGAGCATTAAGACAGTAATGATATGAGACCTGGAGCAATGCTTCCTTCTGCACAGAAACGATTATGATTACAAAAGAGAATCTTCTGATATAAAAAAAAACGAACTGTAATGAGCCTGGTCATATTCCCTAGTGTTGTTAACAAAGTAATAACGAAGAATTTTAAAATAAATGAGGCTCACAAACCAAAGTTCGCAAGCTTCCCGCCACATTTAAAATTCAATGGCTGACAAAACTAAAATCGAAGTATTCCCATTCAACCACATAACTGATGCAGTTTCAATGGACTTTCATGCTTAAACATTGTTTTAAAAGCTTACTTGCATCTAAGGTGAAGGGTCTGTGGAAAACTTATTATCAAGACGTGTTCCAAGATATTGTGGCTGGCGTGTTATTATGTATTCTTAGAATCCTTCATAGGAACTTATTGTGTCAGGTAATATAATATAATAATAATGGCCCTCAAACTGAGTATGACTGACAATGGAGGAATTACTTCCAAGAGTAGCACAGGATATGGAACAATATTTTCATACACTGTGATTAATAAACACCATAATTAGGAAAATTTCAAAACCCTCTAAGGAAGAAGATCCAATGAAAAGCTAGGCCACCAAATATCTGATATGTAAAGTAATTAAATAAATGGTTAACAAAGTCCATTCACTTACCCACACACAATAAATGTAACACCTGAGGGACAACAAGAGACCTCTTGGCCCATAGTGACTATCCCAATCATTTCGTCAAATACTTATCTCCCCCGAATCCCCAAATACTCATCGAGCCCTTTCTTGAACCCTCCTAATCTTGTTTCATCTACCATGCCTGAAAGAAATCTATTACAAAGGCTGATCAACTTGTTCAAAAATATAATTGCCTAATTTTCAGACAACTTCTTTCCTACCATATTTTAAATCATGTCACCTAGTCCTACCACTTTTACCACTGAACACAAAGATAACTCATCAATCCTGTCTATTCCCTTTATACTTTTGACCATTTCAATCAAATCCCCTCTAAATCTTTTTTTCTCAAGATAAAATAATTTTAAGGATCTTATCCTCATCTGACAGGAATCATCATAGTAGCTGTCAGGTTTTTATATATATGTGGATGTATGTGTTGGAAGGATTCTTTACAGTAGGTGTCTTTGACTTGCTGGCAATAAATTTCAATGATAAACAGCACACAGTCCACTTGTTTTAAAATAATGTATTAATTAAAACAAGTCAAATACATATACAAATGTTCGTTACACAGTTAGTTACCACGGATTAATCCAGAGCTTTAAACAATTCTCTTTTTCATCAAAAGTCCACAAAGACTGGATCAGTTACTTTGGAACCAAACTGACAAGAAAAATTATTCTTCTCTACTCTACTCTCTAATCTGTGATTATTACACTTTAAAAGTCACCACTATACACTCTTTATGGCTAAACTCACAATCACCCTATCTATATCTATCACTTTTTCTTTTATTTCACTTCCTATCACATTTTGTTTGCATATTTATAAAAAGCCCAACTAAGGCCAAGAACTTTCCACACACTACTAGATATATGATGCAACAAGCAATGAGAAAAATTCAGAGCATTCGAGTAACATGATGTCAATTCACAACAATTGAACAACACAACAAATGATTCATAAACAGTTATGTAAGCAATCTTGCCAAAACTATCACTTCTAAAACTAACTAACATTTGCACTATATAAACTAAATAATACTCTTGTATTAAACTTAAAATGAACAGTCGTGTATATCTAACAGTAACTGTAGCCCTCCTTTGAACCATTTACAACAACTCAATATCCATATCCCAAGACTGAACACAATATTCTAAATGAGGTCTAACCAGAGATTTGTATACAAAAAATTATAACCTCTTTTGAATTATATTCAATATTCCTGTTGATACAACACAAAATCCTATTTGCTTGTTAACACTCCTTGGAAGGCTCAAGTGACTAACTGACCAAAACAAGAATATTACTGAGTTGATTTTCACCAAAGTGGTAGTTATAATTTAAAATTAAGATAGCCTACGTGCATTACCTTGCATTTAACATAATTGTCATTTGCCAAATGATATATATCTCCTTTGTAAAATAACAGCATCCTTCTTACAACCAACTACATCCAAAAGTTTAATACAATCAACAAGATTCACTTGTTGACCATTCCCTTATCAATAACGTTAATTCTATTGTCTAGACAAGTCAATATTGTAAAGCACATTCAATTAGGATATCTTAGAAGTCATCTTAGATGTACTTTTGTCTTTTGGGCTTGAATCTTGTAGATAATTAATCCATTAGTGTTAAGTAAAAATACATAGATTGAACATTTTGTTGTAAGCTACATTTTTTAATGTTATTATTTGTTTGTTAGTTAGAGGGTATAGAATTTCTAGAAAGTTCTATGGATGTGACATCAAATTTTTCTAGTATATCCAAATTAAATTATAAATATGAGATAGTCATTAAGTTTAGAGACTGAATAAAATACTGAGAGTGAACTAGTCAGTATGTTAGTTATCCTGATTACTTTGTACAAGTTAGTTGTCATTTTTAAAGGTCAGAAATGTTTAGACATGTTGAAGAGGAAAATAAAAGAAATTTATTATTGGTACATGGGCTGAATGTTGAATTACAACAGACTTGTACATTTTACTAAAAGCTTGCCACATTTTGTGTAGACACACAAAGTAAATTCAGAATTATATTCAATATTTCTTCTCCAAAATGGGGTCAGTCCAAAGGGCCGAGCCCATGCACATTCAGTTATAGTAAGTAAAAGATTATATTTTTGAGTTATCATAATTTGGATCACATGTTCAATACAGATGTGAACCCATTCAATAACATGACTGAAAAATATTATCTATGCATAGTGGTAGATAAGTCACTTAAGTCATTGAGGCAGTGGTCTGTTACTAAAGTAGTAGCAAAGCTAATAGAATTTTAATTTTATGATGTATGTTTATCCAAACACAGTTACAAATCAAGATGTAATCATCTTTTTAATTTTTAAACAAACCATTAGTTAGCCATTACTTGGAAGACTGTGTACAGTCTTTTATGACTATGAGATATGATACACTTATTTATTGGAAAGGGCTCAGGGATAAGTTACCTTATAGAATTAGGCTGATATTTCTTTACTTATTAAGTTGGTAAGAGGTGCTCCTACTTATGGTTAAAAAGATTTATCCAGGGAAAGATAGGTTCAATTTAAAGGTATCTGATTTTTTTGTTATATTCTGAAGACAATGGGGCAAAAGTTTAAGATCTGGAAAAAGCAGTTTTATTTGTATTACATTATAGTAAAACATTCATAAACTAATCGTAATAAAGGCTGGAGACGGCTTGAATGGGTAATGAAGAAAAACTTTAATATAAGTTTAACATAACAGCAAATGTACAACGTTTCGACAAGGTTCTGTCAACATCAGATGTAGATTATGAATCAACTGGATGCAGATTTTGTTGCGTAGCTACATCTGATG